TCCATGCTTTCTGTGCCTACTCTTTCCCATCCCTGTAACGTACCTAACCCAGTTCTCATGATAGCTCTTTGTTCAGGGGCGGGGGGGGGGGGGCAGGCAATGACCAAGACAGAGAGTCACCCAGGTAGGATGACCGCTATCGTCATTAGCTTTGGCCAGAATTGTTCAGGACTAAAACCATTCCAGTTCCTAGCAAACCAAAATAAGCTGGCCACTCTCAGATTTGCTAGTTACAGGCCAAGCAAACACACACAGGATGGGAGTACTCCACCCCTCCTCCAATTCTGTTTGAATTCAGTGTGAAAACCAGACTTGGAGGCATCAGGGTTCATCCCTAAATCTGGCCTGTTGAGTAGGACTCATAATGAGTAGGACTCATACTTCCTTTGGACTTCACATGCTGGGTGGGGACACACAAACATCAGGAGTGTGTGGGGACTTGTTACAGAAAGGCCCACAACAGGGGGCTATCCTATTCCTCACACAAAGTCATCATCTGGTTTTGACATGGGTTATGAATCCTGCCCAGCATGCACATAGCCTTTAGGATTTATAAGATGCTCCTGCACATAGGTTTTTCTTGAACATCTATGTTGTGACAGAGATCACCAGCACTACCAAAGAGGCTGAGACACCAGGCCCAGCATGAAGAAGAGAAAACTTGAGCATCATACGATTGGCAAACACAAGGAACAGTCAAATTGTCACTCCACTCTACCACTGGTTGCTTTCCAAAATGGCCAGAAACCCTCAGGGAGGATAGGAACAGATCAACCTAGGGTTTGAGGAAGTAGGGTGTATACAGGGACCTATAGAGGTAGCTGCTTTTAAGAAAATGCTATTATGTTGGTGAGCTTGAGGCCCAGCCTGATGATAGGCAGAAGGCTAGATTGCTTAACCACAGAGTTCTTTGATCCCCTGTATGTACATTCCTGGAGAGACAATCTTCAACCCAATATCTCACCCCACTTGCACCGTCAGAGTCCAGGCCTTGTGGGGTAGAAAGGTCATCTCTCAGTTCATCCTCACGGGCTTAGACAGAAGCACTGAGAGCAACTCACTAATACTGAATACAAGTTGTTTTTCCTTCATCTCTTTTTAGAGCAGGTGCAGAGAATAGGAAACTTGGGTTACTCTGATTAATCTACAAAGTACTTTAAAAAAACCCAAATGCAAGTACAATAGCCACCACTGGTGCGGTGTCTTCAGTGAATCTAGTCTAGGCTCAGGAGGTTTCTTATTCTGATGTCTTGGTCATCCAGGACACCAGTTTCCTTTCCTGTTCTACCATCGTAGGTGGCAGGAGGGACAACTTGAGACTCTAGGCTAATCTGCCTCTGACAGCATCTCCTGGCCCTGCCTGTATTATACTCTCTTCTAAGAATCCCTTTCTCTTGTTCCCTAAATACTCTCAGACCCATCCTACCTCTGGCTTCTGTTCCCATCTTCTTTCTGGAGAGGATAGCAATGCCAGCCCTTCTTACCTTCATGGCCCAGTCCAAATTCCAGTTCTTGAGGGGGTCCTCCTTGGCCATCTCATGTGAAGCAGGCCATCTCCCTGTCACTCTCTCCTTCATGACAGCTACTCAGTCTCAGGGTGGCGTCCTATGCTCCTCACAGCCCTGAATTCAGGCACTTTCATTTGTTCTTCTGCTTATTTATCTCATGTCTCCTCCAGTCACACCATGAAGGCCACAGTAACTGAGGCTCTATGAGATGGGAAAAAAAGTGTCACTTCAGTATTCATTAAATGTCATGAAAGACTTGTTTAAAACCAAGAGGTAAAAAAAAAAAAATGCACATGCCTGGAAGTAAAACAGATGTGTGTGCTTTTCTGTCTTCCCAGTTTGGAAGAAGGCATGGCCTCCATAAGACTTTCTCTCTGAGAGGCCACTCAATGGTAGTTACTCTCGATTTTAGAACTTTGTTGACCCAACAGTATGAAATCCCAATGGTAAGGCTTTGGTCATCCATCGCCAAATCCACAGGCTTTGAGATTCGTTTCACCTCAGTCTCTTCTATTCCCTATTCTTAAAGAACATACTCATGAGTCCTAAAGACTCTCTTAGTCTGTGTCCCCAACTGTACTGAGCTCTTGGAGGATGGGAGTATCTAGCAGGGTATATGTTGGCCCTGTAGAATGAATCAGTGTTGTGACAGGCACGTATCTAATATGTCTTCCAGGAACAGATGTTGAATGAAGTTCTCTATTTTATAGAGAACAGGGGCTGGAGCGATGTCTTAGCAGTAAAGGGCTTACACTTCTTGAAGAGGAACCAGAGTTCGGTACTCAGCCTCAAAATCGGGTAACTCATGACAAAACCACATGAAAACATAAAATTAAACCCACATACATAAAATTAAAAATAATTAAAAAGTCAATTAAAAATATAAATGAAAGAAAGAATATTAAATACTTGAATTAGAGGTTGACCTGGGGACACAGACCTTGGGAAGCAGGAGGATTGAAAGTCTAGCTATAAGGAATTCAGTGCCAACCTGGATAACTTAGTGAAAGACAGTATCTCAGAAAAATGAGAAGAAAAGGAAGAAAACAATAGGAAGCTTGTCTAGCACGTGCAAGGGCTCAGGTTCAGTCTGCACCACGTAGAATAAATACGTAAACAGTCAATACATGAGTTGGAAAACCGTGGGAAACAGCATAGAATAGTGAGCTGAATTATACATACTCAAGTGATAAAGTGTGAAATATATGTCTGTTGGATGGAAAGGGGGTCAGCAGAGGTTCCTGGGGCCAGGAGGGGAACCTCCTTAGGTGAGGTGACAGGGCAGGAGTGGAAGCAATTGTAGAGCACACTTTTGAAAAACAGCCACCCACAGCCACCTCAGAGCCGGAGGCACCACAGCTCCCCATCTCTGTAGCTTACCATTCTGAGAAATGGGACTAACAGGCTTAGAGCCTCAGTTGTTTTTGTTTTGTTTTTCTATTAACACTGATAATCTCAACTTTCATTCATTAATTATTTGAGATGAACAAAGCCTTTTTGGAGCCACTGTGTGACCTCTGACCCAGTGCTCCACGTGGCCAGATGGAAGCTGAGCCCCTAGACATTCATTAATTTAAAAAATCTGCACCAGACGATGGCTATCAAAGGTATCACATGCTCACTTGCTGAGTGCTTCATAAAACCAGGAAGTCCTCTCTCTCTCTCTCTCTCTCTCTCTCTCTCTCTCTCTCTCTCTTCCCCCCCTCTGTGGTGTGGTGTGGTGTGTGTGTGTGTGTGTGTGTGTGTGTGTGTGTGTGTTGGGAGGAGGATTAAACCCAGGGCTTTGCACATTCTAGGCAAGCTCTCTGTCATGGAACTCTGTCCAGCCCTTAGGAAGTAAATTTTGGTCTATGGAAAATTTCCCCTCCAGCATCTACTAAACACTCACTAAGTGAGTACTAAATAAGATGGTGTTATGTCTGTTCCCTCTGAGACTTTATGGTTAGCCAGTTGAATAACAGAACAACTGCTGAGATAATAAGAGAGAATCAAAGAAGTACAGCTTTCTCAGCCTTTAGGACTTGAGCCCAGGGTGTCAGCAGCAGCCTACTCTGCAACTGTTCCCTTCCACAGATTCCATCTCTTCCCAACCCACCCAGTGTCATACAGGAGCAAACTGGCCCACAGTATCTGACAGAAGGTTTCACCACTCAACAGCCCAATTCTAACATGCTCCCATGGTATGAACAACGGCCCCTGGAGCATGTTATTCAAATGTCCAGAAACCATTCTCGTAACCTCATATATCTCCAGCCAATCAGAAAACACTGAAATTAAATCTTCAGGATACACACAAACCTCTCTTTTGGTGTAGCTTATACTGTGATCTTAGGCTTGCTGAAGGACTAACTTCCATCAGAGAGCCCTGACAATATTGATTGTTTTGGCTTAAAGCTACATAAGTAGATTGATTTTTGTTTCTGCTTTCAAACTAAAAAGGATCATAGTAGTGTTAGTATATTCCTGTTTCCACTGGTTGGTATGCACTGAATGAATAAATAATGTTACTTGGAAAAATTCAGTCAATGGAAAACAAGGTGCAGGGCTTGAGTTGCACTGTTAACTGGCTTGCATGCTTCCTAAGATTGTCTACTTCTGTTCTGACTCGTTATTTAGAAAGAGGAGGGGAGAGGAGAATGAGGAGGAGGAGGAAAGAAGGAGGAGGAGGAGGAGGAGGAGGAGGAGGAGGAGGAGGAGAAGGAGAAGGAGAAGGAGAAGGAGAAGAAGAAGAAGAAGAAGAAGAAGAAGAAGAAGAAGAAGAAGAAGAAGAAGAAGAAGAAGAAGAAACAGCAGCAGCAGCAGCAAAAAAAAAATCATTTTAGTAGTTAAGGTCTAGGGTAGAGAAATGAACCCAGCAGGGGAGGAAGTGTCCTCTTGTGGAGGTTAATAACCAACAAGGCTGTCACTTCCCTCTCTATGTAAGGAGGAAGGAAATATATTCACCAGGGGTCTCTGCTGATTTGTTTTTAATTTAAGGACAATTAGGCAACTCTACACCCCCACCCCATTTCTGTATGCTTTCTTTCAAGACTAGAAAAGAAATAGAAAACAAAGAAGGCTATGAAATTAGCGTTGAGTTTACTTGGAGGGACACCTAATCGTCAACAGGGATTTTGGGAGCCAGTCAACTAGGTCCTGTATTATACTGCTTCCTCTTTCTGAAAAAAAATTTTTTTTTTTTTACTATCCTAAAATATTACTTTCTATGGAAACAGGTTTTAGCTGATGCGGTTCTTGAACTGTTGCAGCATAGACTACTTTAGGTCATAAAAACGTTCTGGATAAGAAAAGTCAGTCTCTCCCTCTTTTTAGATACTCCATCTAAGGAGAAATGGAAGGAGAAGAGGAAGAAAGACCAACATCTCACCACTTGCATTTCTTTACTGGCAGGTGGCGTTTGACTTCCAACTTCTCAGAACCCCAACTCAGAATAATAGAAAGACAAGGGGACTCGTGGAGGAAGCCCGTTCCCGCGGGAGGTACACTCTTTACCAGCCCGGTTTAAACCCGCTACAGAGGGGGCGTGGCCCTGGAAGGGCGGAGCAGCCTTAGTGGGCGGGACGGGGCGGGGGCGGGGCTCCAAGAGACTAAGCTGGATACAGGAAAGACCAGAGCTCCTGGAGCCTCGTCTGTCTCTTTAAATGCCACGGGCTGCGCTCCCGCCCGGGAGCCCCGAGCCGGATCTACAATCCCGTCCCTCCCGCTCCGGCGCTTGTTGCTCGCCTAGCCCGAGCGGGAGCTGCGGTCCCTGGGAAGCCCGGCTAGCTTCTTCTGCTTTCCTCCTCGTGCCCCATCTTCCCGGAAATCTGCGTGAGGGGTCGTGCAGCAACGAGCGTGAACAGTCATTGCCTCCCCCAGTCTTCAAGTCTTGGGGTTCTACGCAGCCGCGGGGGGCGGCAAGGGAGAAATGCGTCCTTCCCCGAAGCCCAGCTTCACCGTGGTCTGCGCTGGGAGAGGAGACACTGCGGAGCCTACACCTGCGAACTCGCCCTAGAAGTCTCGGGTGCGGCAGGGTGCCCCTCCCGGTCCCCTAGGGCTTCTACGTCTCGGGGAGAGAGTCGGCGCAGGTAATCTGAACCCCAGGGAAGGCGCGCGGGGGAGGGGCCGGCCAGCCGCAGTGACTTGTGGCAGGTGAGCCAAGTCGTGTGGCTCACCTGGCACCTCCACGCCGAAGGAGCCTTACGGGTTCCTAGGGGGTGCAGGCATCGAAGGAAGTCAAAGGGCTAGTTAGGATCCGGAGTGAGAGGGGAAGTTAAGAAAGAGAAGGAAATTGGAATAAAGTTTCTATTTCCTTCTCCCCCTCCTGCCCAGGGTTGGCAGGTAGGGCGCGGGCGGAAGCTGTCGGAGCTGCTGATGCAATGGGCTTTCGCTGGGGCCAGGTGATAGCTGGGGGAAGGGGAAAACTGGAGTGGCCATGTCTCCAGTGATCGTGACCCTAGAGGTGGAGAAACGCGAGGAAGCTCGTCCCCCAGACTTCCCCTAAAATGGCTCCAGGTGCTCGGCCCCCACCCGTTCTTTTTCCAGAAACAAACGCCTTTTTCTGGAGTGGCACCTACAAACATCTCCCTTGTCTTCTCTTCCAACAGGTGGCTTTAGCCCCTGCCCGGGGACCAGTGCCAATGACTCTGATGGTGGTTTCGCTTTCTCCTCTTGAAGTCCTGTGAACGAGTGTCCACAGCGTAATGGGCAACCAGGTGGAGAAACTGACCCACCTAAGTTACAAGGAAGTTCCCACGGCCGACCCAACCGGCGTGGATCGAGACGATGGGCCCCGCATTGGAGTCTCTTATATTTTCTCCAACGACGACGAGGATGTGGAACCTCAGCCACCGCCCCAGGGGCTTGATGGCGGAGCTTTGTCCGACTCAGGGGACCGACCTCCCCTGCCCCCGCCGCAGCCCTACGACCCGCGGCAGCACGAGGTGGAATGCTCGGTGTTTTATCGTGATGAGTGCATCTATCAGAAAAGCTTCGCGCCGGGCTCGGCAGCGCTGAGCACCTACACACCGGAGAACTTGCTCAACAAGTGCAGTCCGGGTGACCTGGTGGAGTTTGTATCGCAGGCGCAATACCCGCACTGGGCTGTCTACGTGGGCAATTTCCAAGTGGTGCATTTGCACCGGCTGGAGGTGAGCAACAGCTTCCTGACCGATGCGAGCCAGGGCCGGCGGGGCCGTGTGGTCAACGATCTGTATCGCTACAAGCCACTGAGCCCTAGCGCTGTAGTGCGCAACGCACTGGCCCACGTGGGCGCCAAGGAGCGGGAGCTCAGCTGGCGCAACTCGGAGAGCTTTGCCGCCTGGTGCCGCTATGGCAAACGCGAGTTCAAGATCGGTGGCGAGCTGCGCATCGGCAAGCAGCCCTACCGTTTGCAGATTCAGCTCTCGGCTCAGCGCAGCCACACTCTCGAGTTCCAGAGCCTGGAGGACTTGATCATGGAAAAGCGGCGCAACGACCAGATCGGACGCGCGGCGGTGCTGCAGGAGCTCGCCACGCACCTACACCCGGCTGAGCCGGATGAGGGCGACAGCGACGCAGCTCGGACTACACCGTCTCCCTTGCGCCCCCCTCCATCGGGCTCCGAGGAGGAGAATGGAGACTCGGCGGTGCACTGATACTTGACCTGGGCTCAGAGCTACAAAAGGAAGCTGTTTGCAGCGGCCACACACCCTTTCTCCCTCCCCCATCCCCTACACTTGGGCCCCATTTCGTATTCCTGGGCCTTTTGGAAAAAAGCAGAGTTGGTGAAATGCACAGCCGGCTTTGGACGGGGGAGGAGGAAGGGGACTTAGGGAGCAGGTAGGATTGGCTGGTGGGTGGCCATGGGAAGCATTTTCATCAGTCCACCTTCCTTTCTGAGGTGGGGTAAAGTGTGAACTTGCTTGCGGCTTCAACCCTTACAGATAAGGGACCAAATTCAACCCTTCGTAGACAAGCAGGCTTGGGGGAAATCTCAGAGCACGTTTGCCCTGCATTCTGTCTTCCTTGATCCCTCCCTGCTCTCAGCTTGGAGGATTCAGGGTACAAAGGCCAGAGAGGATTGGGGAGGAGCCGCTTCGGGTCAGCTGGGAGAACTGCTTATCTGCTTCTCCCACTGAGCTGTGCTTGGGATCCTAGAAGCTGGAGTGATTTATTTTATGGGATTCCCGGGGCACAGGGCTGCTGAAACTACAAGATCTGGGAGCAGCAGACCGAAACCAAACAGCCCTGTATTAAGTGGAGCAAATACTTGAGCAAACTCAGGCTACAGGCTACAAACGGATTTTACTACCTCCCCCTCCCTATCTCCCTCCTCCCCCTTCCCCGAGTACCTCCTCTTGGGAAGCTGGCTCTAAGCGGAGTCTTTGGCTCCTCAACTCTTTCCCCGGTTACAAGTAAATCATTGTCAAGGGCCAGCCAGGGAAAGGATTCAATTAAGGTGCCATTCAGCCTCCTGTGTTTTTGGCCTGCTGTTGTGGACTCTTAGAGCTGTCGTGTTGTTATCAAGGGAGGCAATAGCCCTTTGTGTCTCTGATCTAATTAAACCTGCTTGGCGTGTTCATCTGCAGGTCACAGATGGGGTTGGCTTGTGCCACCCCATAAAGTATCCTCTAGGGAATCAACCAGTGCTACCCTGGCAAGAATTAAATCTCTCCTTGTCTCCTTGCTGAGTGGTGAAAGTAACCCTTTAAAACCCAAGCTGGATCTAGGGTTCATTTTGATTTTGTTTTTCTCTCCCTGGTCTCCCTTCCTCACCAGACAGTTGCCGTGGTAGGGTTAGGGTTATTTTGCCATCCGTGATGTATGAAGTTTAATTCAAGGTACAGTCTTGTTATTTGTACCCAATTTCTTTGTGGCTTGGAGAGCATCCTATTCAGAGCCCTTTTCTAAAAGAGTGGTGGCATCAGACACAGATACCATGTAGTATGGTCAAAACAGATTTGATGACAGTCCCAAACATAGGTTGGTAATGGTGGCATGTGAACAGGCTGAACAGGTAGCAGTTGGGTCTGCCATTGAACTTCCATGCACTTTAGTACAAGTCTTTAAGACCACTACAGCCTGTTGCCTGAACTGCAGGCAGACCTTTGACTGCTGAGTGCTTATGGGCAGTCTGTCAACTACTCTCAAAAGCTGAACATGGTTAAAGGCCTTTGCTGCTTGTGCCAGTCTTTATAACACTGGAACTAGTTCTTAGTCATTGGAACAAAGCCCTACTTGAGTGTCCCGAAGCCACGGTCATTGGTGGGCTTCTTGCTTGGGGTTCTGTAAATCACACTTTTATTTTTTAAGCCTAGATCTTCATAGTACCTCAGCATGAAACCTTTTCGTTAATTATAAAGGCATCAAATGCACTTCCTGCTTTCACAGTGCGTACCAAGCAAGTCCATGTTCTTTGGATGGTAAAGATGAGCTACGTACACACTAGCCTTGGTTTGGGACACTGGAGGAGAACCATTTTCTAGTTGGGAATATGGATCTGATTTTCCGTGTTTAATGAGCTCATAGGTATTTGATTATATGTCTTGTCCATGGAACAGCAGAAAAAGATAAACACAGACGATGTTATTTAGGGAAACCTGTATCTAACAGATTTGGGCTAGTGAACGTGGAAGTTGATGCCCACTGTGTAGACTACAGGAGGGGAGGAATCAGCACGGCTGTCCCAAGCAGCACTGGAATAGCAAACTCTCCCTGCTCTCCCGTACTTGCCTTCTTCCTCAGACCTCAAAGATCATACTGAGTGTAGCAGGTGACTTGTGTTATACATGAAGTGACCCCAAAGGAAGAACTCCTAAAATCCACCCACCTGTAACATTTCCTCTTTGAAAGTTGATCCATTTCAGATGATGGTTTCTGGAATGTGCTACCAGCAATTTTGCTGGGTACCAATAATGCCAAATATGTAATACTTAGGAAGAGCTAACACCTTGAACGTTTTCTTAGGGGGTAGAAAGTCTAAGGCAGTGGTTCTCAACCTGCTGGCCCTGATCCTTTTGGATGTAGCATGTCAGGAATTTACATTACGATCCATAACAGTAGCAAAATTATAGTTACCAAGTAACAACAAAATCATTCTATGGTTGAGGATCACTACAACATGAGAAACTAACCATATTAAAGGGTCACAGGATTAGGTTGAGAACCACTGCTCTAAAGTAAACTACATCAACTTAGGGGTCTTAAGATACAGTGTCATGTCATCTCTTAGTTTTTAAGACTGCAGTGTTGTGGGGAAAACATTTTTTACTTTAATATCCTGGCAACGGCTACATCTGGCACTTTAGGGGGAAAATATATTAATAATTTTTGTCTCTCTTTAGAAATAAAACATAGAACTATTTTGTACTGTGAATTAACGTTGCTCTTTGAAGGAAAGAAATATTAATTCCAGTGGTTTTTCTGAAGCTCTGGAAGGGATAAGCAAGACCCTGTGGAACACGTACAAAAAGAAACCAGACAAATTCTATTTTCTTACCCGAGCAAATATTTTATTGAGACTGCTTATGTACGTCAAAAGGAGCCTACAACTTCAGCTACACAACTTTTTGTATCGAAAGAACTCGTACTTTTGTAGCTTTTATTCCACATTTAATTTAAAATGACTTTGTAACACTTAAGTGTCTAGCAGAAGACTTTATTCCAGATCTTGAAGAAAATTTTTAGTTTTTATGAAAATGGTTTAGTGGTTCAGCTTCTCGAAGCTGCGGTGCTCCGGGTCCGCTTGGCACCACGGGACAAGGACAACCACATGACAACATTATTTTTTTGGAAGCAAAACTTTAATTTTATATGACATATACTATGGAAAGCTAAGAAAATTTAAGGACTACTAGTTTTCTTTTTTCTTTCTTTCTCTCTTTCTTTCTTTCTTTTTTTCTTAAAATGGGATCCACTGTGTTGAAGACTCTTGATCTCATGTGCTTGTCTCGCCATTTTTTAAAAACAATTAAAATAGAATTGAGCGTGATCATATAGTCATCCGACGGATTTGTTTGGAAAATTAGATTTTATTTGTGAATTGTTTAAAAATCAGGATTCTGATAAATTTGACTGTTTTATTCGTCTTTTCATTATGTCTTGCTCTTGGTTACGAATCAGGATACATACTCCACAGGCATTTTATTTCCCAGAAAATTGTAGGAACTTTAATTTGATAGACAGTTGTATGTTTAAATCAGTTTTCTTTCACCACTTCTTGAGAAGGTGGTTCCAGTTCAAAATTGTATCATTTCCTTCAAAATGAAGGGCCGTACTTAGTTAAATAAAAGATTGATGACATCTTTTAAGCCATTTCCTCTTCACTCTGTCTTATTAAAATGAAAGCTGTCAAGTCCTTTTGAAAAATGTTATGAGGATTCCCAATAAACCATCTATTATTAGAGTTTATTGCATTCGTTTCTCCACAGACACCCTTTCTTTTGACATGTTTTTAAATATTAATTCAAGCTGTTCAACTTACTGCAATGTTAGTGGGTATCATCCTTGCATTGTTCAGTGAATAGTTTGTTGGATCCAATTAGTGGCCCAAACTCTTATATTTACTATGTAGGAATTAATCACGAGTTGCCTTTTGCTCTCTGTGTTCATGAAAAGTACCTTATAACGACACATCTTCACTACACGGTTTTCCTTTCTTTTTCTTTTTTTTCTTAATTTTTTTATTAATTTATTTATTCACTTTATATTCTGATCACAGCCCCCCTCTCCAGTTCCCCTTCATACAGCCCCTCCTCCCCACCACTCCCCTTTTTTGAGAAGTCTCCCCCTCATCCAGGTACTGATCCACCCTAGCACCTCAATTCATTCTAGGACTAGGCACATCTTCCCAGGCAGCCCAGTTAGGGGAACAGGATCCACAGATAGGCAACAGAGTCAGAATAAGCCTCTTGCTCATGTTGTTTGGAGGCCCACATGAAGACAAAGCTGTACATCTGCTACATATTTGCAGGGGTGGGCGGGAGGGGCTTGGTCCAGCTCATGTGTGCTTTATGGTTGGTGATTCTGTCTCTGGGAGCCCCCAAGGGTCCTGGTTAGTTGATTCTGTTTGTCTTCCTGTGGAGTTCCCATTCCCTCTGGGTTGCTCGATCTTTCCTCAACTCTTCCCCAAAACGTCCCAAGCCCCCTGTCTAATTTGGCTGTTAGTCTCTGGATCTGTTTTGGTCAGCTGCTGGGTGGAGCCTCTCAAAAGACAGTTATGCTAGGTTCCTGTCTGTGAATCCAGGCTGGCAGATACAAATGTAGCCTTGAGGCTTCAAGGTAGTTGAAGGAGGAAGGCAGGTTTGCAGTGTGTCCCTATTGATCCTCTAAGGACCTCTCGGCACAATCCTCCACAAATTGGCAGGAGTTGCTGCTGCGTTTATTTATGTACGTCTCACACAGGATACCTGTGTATCCAGGCCAGCGGCAACAAATATAACTGTTCAGTACACGGTTTTCAAAATCAACCTGAGTGTTACAGAAGATACACTTATCATGGAGTCTGCAGTGGGAAGTTCTGTGTTCAGCAGCTTGCGTTGAGCCTTACTTACGTGGCTTCACAGCCTCAGGAAAAGCAACCATATGGCACTGTTGGCATGACAAGGGATATAGGTACATGCAGTTGGTAGAACAGATGTGCCATCTAAAAGGGTACCTAAGAGGCTTACCAGCACAGCGTCTGAAATTACCATCACAGTATCAAAAGGTTCAAATCCCCAGCCTTTGTCAACAGGCTGAAATTTTTATGTAACAAAGAGGAACTAAGTTAAAAGGAGCCCAAGTGGCAAGATCTCATTTCTTTCTGCTGTAGAAGTCTTTAGTCTCACAGTTCTCATTATCCAAAGTTTGGGGAGGGGAGCCTAATGCAGAATTGGCACATATTATTTGATGGTTTTGATGGAGGCTGCTGTTCCTACTTTTTTCAGTGGACTTAGCTTGCTTAATGTAGGAAAATGACATGTTCAGAAGTATTTAAAAAGAGCTCTAAAATGAACAGGCTCAGAATAGGCGCAAAAAAGGCTTCTATTTCCTTTTATGAATTTACTAGGGAAAGCTGCTTATTAAACAAATATAGCAATTTGCAGAAGAAATGCATTCACAATCACAATGAGATATGGTCCTGAGCATGATGAAGGGCCAGAAGGTGTTGAGCTCAGCCTGGTGTCCATCTGGGACAACAAAACAGCAATCAGAGATTCTTCAAAGAAGAATGATACTTATTTGGAATTAACAGAGCATCGTTGTAGTGGGGACAATCAAGTCGTGCTAAACTGTGACTGTGCTCAAACAGGTTCAGGCCAGAGGAACTGTCCTAAAGACACAGGTTTTGAGAAACAATAACCCTTAGCCTCAGTAGCTAACAAGAGTGTTTGAACAGACAGTTGCCATGCAGTTGTCCTTATAGTTCTGATGGTAAAAGATTGCATAGCTTTTGTGTAAGCTTGTGGTTTTAGCAGAGCCTTTTGCTGTAGTGACTCTTGGCCAATCATGTAATAACTAGGCATGGCTTCCTGGCTTTTGTTAGAGTGGATAGAAGTGTCTCCATTTTGATTCCGATATAATTTTTCATGTGCTTTTCTCACTAGGAGCCAGAACACAAAAAAGTGTATATATATTTTTAAAAATATGAAATGATCTAGTCCCTAAACTTGTTCATAAGGGGAAATCATGCATATGGGACAGGTTATAATAAAGGTGGCTCTGTCAAGGGCTAATGGTTGATAGGTATAGGAAGAAAGCCAATGTGTACATATTTAAGTTTGTAACTGGCAGAGGAGAAGCCTGTAGTCCTGTCATACAATGAAATCGAAACATAAATACAGAAGGTAGAGATCATGAAGTCACCAATAGAACTGCCGTTTACTAAGTCCTTAGCCAGGAGGCTCCTCAATTCCTATAGTGTACCTAACATTCAACAATGAACTACGTTTATAGACACTTTCATTTAAATAGACCAGGTGAGCAACAGCAACCAAAGCAAAGAAGCATTTGGTTACAGTTGTGATGGAGTCATGGAAAGACGTGTAGTGTGTAACGAAGACTTTCCACCACTGAGTCAAAGAATGCTACATATCTGCCTTGGAAGAGGCAGAAGGGAGGGAGAAAGATCAGGTGTCTTGGAGCTAGTGCAGACACATTCATCAAGGCAGGCAGACTGGAGAGCAAATGAATGAACCCGTAATGTTCTCAAAATGCCTTTGTCCCAAACGCTCCGGCTCATGAACCTCTTCAACTCATTCATGAGTTTCTTTGTTTCTCAGAGTGAAACAAAGGCAGAAACCCCCTCCACCCCCGTAAGGGACTGAGTGGCCAGATACATTGAGGCTGGCTTTGCTAAATTAAACCCTCTGTCATCTCAGTGATGTTAGAACAGGATGAATACAGTAATGGCTTTTAGGAGGTATGGGGGTGTGACAGTCACTGACTGTCAGTGCTGGAGATTGTCCTGTTAACATTATGCGGGCCTTGGATTCATAGAAAGATGAGTGTAGATTTAGGCCTTGGCCCAGCGTGAGAGAGTAGACAGATGAGTGCACTCTGCTAGATGAGACCTGAAGAGCAGGAATTACAGCCTTGGAATCAGGATTGAGGAGGAGGGAGTTTTGTTCAGCTGGTAAACCACTGCTGAGTTTCTCTTTATATAACAACTTCAAGAGTGGTCATAAATGGCTATAAAGATGCACTCTAGGCTACTTTCTCTAGGAAATATAATACTCAGTCAAGTCCTAGTGTGGTAATCTTACTATCCAATACATTCTTTTTGGTTTTGTAACTTAGGATGCTACACTGAAGGGAAAGGGTCTACCTGTGCACAAATTATTGTTGGGACTTTATAGTCAAAGGACCTGAATGTCTCCTGTGTTTCTCTGCTGTGGCCTGGGCTTATTAACTTGTGAACCTGGGAAGAGTTATATACTTCCTGGAATACGTGATTTCACCTTCTGTACAATGCACTATTTCCATTGTATTTATAAAACAATCCTCTGTGTATATGATATTGTAGCAGTGTAGCATTATATACTTAATACTAACATATCAGCATAAACATTAATATATAATAGTACATTTGGACTATATCTACCTTAATGTCAGTTGTTAGGGAAAATGAAACAAATCTATAGAGGCCCCTATCAATAACAACTATGATTAGGAAGGGAAATTCAGGGTCTCACAGTGCATTTGGTAGAGTGCTTGCTGGCAAAACATGACACCTGAGTTGGATTACCTGGACCTACATCAAAGCTAGTTGGGGCAGCACACATCTTCTACCTGTAACCCCTAATGCATTACAGATAGACTCCTGAAGCTTGCTAGCCAGTCAAGCTAGCCAAGTTGGCAAGCCTGAGGGAGACAGACACAGAGGGACAGAGACAGACAAACAGAGCTTTAAAAACTAACGTGGACAGTAATGGAGGAAGACATCTGGTATCGACCTTTGGCTTCCACATATGTACACAATCAGGCACAGGTACGCATTCTCATACACACACATACACACGGGGGCGGGGGGAAGGAAATTGAGGGATATTAAGTGTGTTCTAAAGCCTTACTCGAGTTACTGTTTGGGGAAGGGAATCATTCCTTTAGGCTCTGATTTTTTTTTTTCTGAGAGAATAATTTAAAAAATTAATTGTTCAACAGTAATAGTAAAATATTACTATATTATAATACCGTTGACTGAGTTTCAGAGAATATTCACAAGCCGATTTTCTTGTGTTTGTTTTAGTACTGGAAAGATTTATTTTTATATTTAATATTAGAAATCAAGTCTGAGAGTGAGTGGCCAAAAAGAGAGTGTAAATTCATCTAAGTATTTTTTTTTTAATTTTGGAAAAAGCATTTAAAAGCATGTATGTGTCTGTTTGCTGTCAAATATTGTTATATTTAAGATGGATATTTCTTTTCTGTCCATATCAAAGTGCATTTCCCTTTGCAGCTCTGTCCCTGGGCAGCACATCATAGACTACAGAAGAAGGTTGTCCTATCTCACTGGATGTGCATCATCTATATGAAGGGAGTACTTTACTCGTCATACTTCAGACAGAGTTATGTTTGTCCATAAATCCATAAAGCATTACATGGTGGTTGTTCTTTGTACTAACATTTATTCTCCAAGATTGAATTTATGTTTAGATTTACAGAGAATTCTTGTGTACCACAGGACCTAAGCTTCGAGCATCTCTGTGGTGCCTCGTCTTGATCCATGAGCTCACTCTGCTGCATCATCATCTCCTCGTCAGCCCAGAGTTTACGTCAAGGCTCGCTCAGTATAGTGCTTTCTACAAACATTGACAGCTCGACCCACCATTATGGCTTTCACTGAAGCCTCTCTTCCTTCATCTCTTCCTCCTTCTCTGGGCTGAGGATGAACTGTTTTCAGCTTTTCTTATTCAATCTTAAGAG